TGATGAAAAGTGGGTCTGCAATGTCCAGAAAGGATGGTGCTGAGAACCACATGGAATAGTCTGGTTGCACTCCATCAATTACTGTTTTTACTATAAACAGCATTTGCATGGTTCTTGTGAAAGTCCTAATTTCAAAATTAAGGGCAAATTATAGATACACTATTCAGGATATCTTTTGATATCTTCCCTCTACCTTCTTTCACCACATTATTCAGAATTGTCTGGGAAGGCTGTAGACATTTGGAAGTCATTGGTTGCTGGAAATGCAGAACACGACATTACTGATCCCTTGCATTGTCTTATCTTTTGTCTTGCCTTTTGTTTCTGTGTTTTTGTTTTTTCATGTAAAACTCAGTTGTGAAATAAAAAATTGATACTGAGGCTTTCAGTATGACTCGTCTTTTAACAACAGCTCCACTTGCTGCCAGTTTGTTTGTGAGTCTAATTCAAAGTGTTGGTTAGAATCTAGAAAGTCCTATATGGCTTAAGCCTAGGCTATTTGAAGGACCATGTTTCACCACTGAGCCTCTGGCAGTTGTAAAGCTTCTGGGGAAGGCTCTTCTTTTTGGTCCCAGTGCCCTCTTAGGCATGTTTAGTGTGGACTCAAGAAAACCTTTCCCACAGCTCCTCCCAAGCTGTGGAACTCCCTTTCACAAGAGAATTGGTTGTCTTCCTCCCTCTTCTCCATCCACTGGCTGAGAAATGTCTTCCTCTTCAGCTAAACACCCCCTTTTGGACAGGGGGTACCACAGTTTTCTTCTTTAATTTTTTTTAGATATGTTTGTCCGTTTTAAAGTGCCTTTTTGCTTTCTGTGCTATTTTAGTTTAATGGTCTTTTAATATTATATGTGTAATGATATTTTTAAATATTTTAATGTATGTTTCCTTTTGTAAGCCTCTTTGGATCCCAGAACTGTAAGAAAAGTGGAGTATATGTCTTGAAGGCTCCATCCCTGGTGCACTTCCTGTGATGGTCTTTGCAACAGTTCTTTTTGGAGAGTTCATAGCATTCTACAGGATAGAACTCCGTGTGATGTAAACACATTCCGTTTTTGGTAAATAGGTTTTACCAGGGATTGTTTTGGTTCCAGAATCTGTTCTCTCAGAGGTTGAGAGTGGAACAAAAGAACGATAGATGCAAGTTCATGTTCACAGACACACTGTAAAAAAAAAAACCCAAACACTCTTTTAAATGGTTTTTGAAATGAGCCATACACATCTTTGTTTTATTTTATTTTCTTTTGGTAGTGATTGAATTGCTCTGTGGTCACGATTGTAAAAAACCAAACCACCAGCACTACAAAAGACCAAAAATGGATGAAATAATTGTCATGATAGCAGACGGTACCTTTAATACAGATGACTCTGTGATAAGAGAGTCATTTTGCAGATTAAACCTGCATTGTAAAGACCCTTAGAAGCCAGGCCTTTCAGCTGCAGCATCTTCAAGGGGATGCTCTTTGATAGCAGGTTGCTATAGTAACTTGTGAGGCTTGCTGTATTCTCCTTCCTTAACCTCCATCTAAGCACTGCCGTGTCCTTTGTAGTAGTAAGATCTTCCCCTGTGGGTTTTTTCTTGTCTATATTAATTTTGCTAGTATTGAAAACCTTGGACAAATCAGAGTTAAAACTACAGACCACTCAATGCCCAAGTTTCCAGTGGTATCACTCAATGGTTCAGTTCAGAAATTATCTCTATTATTTTTATTAAGTTTCTCATACAAAGGATACAGTACATAAGGGGAGGTAAAGGTAAAGATTCCCCTTGACATTTAGTCAGTCGTGTCCGACGCTGGGCGGTGCTCATCCCCGTTTCCAAGCTGTAGAGCCAGTGTTTGTCTGAAGGAAATCTTCCGTGGTCACATGGCCAGTGCGACTTAGACCTAGAACGCTGTTTACCTTCCCACCGAGGTGGTCCCTATTTATCTACTCGCATTTACATGCTTTTGAGCTGCTAGGTTGGCAGAGCTGGGACAAGCAACGGGAGCTCACTGCATCGCATGGATTCGATCTTATGACTGCTGGTCTTCTGACCCTGCAGCACACAAAGGCTTCTGTGGTTTTGCCCACCGCGCCACCACGTCTGCTCACATAAGGGGAAAGGGAGTTCAAATAGGAGCAAACCAGTTTTACATATTCTTGAGATTAATGACATTTTAGAACTTCCCATAATTTGTTAGTTTGCCAGTTATTCTTATCTATAGTAAATATTTTAGAATCAGTATTTGCTACATACAAAATTAGGCCATTATCAGGATTATAGGAGTCTCCACATTTATGACCGTGTCTTAAGGTTCAAAACCAAGTACCATCCGTTCATTTTTTCCCTTATTTATCAAAAAGTCCAGTAGGGCCTTCCAACTAGTTCTGAAGGTCATTGATGATTTATCATTGATTAAAGCAATCAGTTTCACCATTTCACCTATTTTCAGCGCCTTAAGTAGCCATTCTTCTAGTGTTGGTACTTTGTTCAGTTTCCAATATTGAGCATAGCAGAGTCTTGCAGCTGTTGTCATGTATCTGATAATTACTGCTTTATTCTTTTCTACTTAATTGTCCACTACACTCAAAAGGAACAATTCTGGTTGCAATTGCAAGTTAATTTTCAGTATCTCCTAGACTATTAGGTGAATTTGCTTCCAAAACGTCATACTGTAGGTACTCTGCATGTCCACCACATATGATAAAAGGAGTCTTCTTTCTCTTGACATTTCCAGCACTTATTGATAACCCCTTTATACATTTTAGACAACCATTTAATCCGTATCTGCTCTTTTCCGTCCATAGAAACTACAGTAACCCCTTCATACATTTCAGACAACTTTTTTTGGTGTCAGATACCAATTATACATCATGTTATAGAAATTCTCTTTAAGGTTATAACTCCTTGTAAATTCCAATCTATATGTCCACATACCCCACATTGTTCTGTTTGAATATTATATCAAATTTTATTTGCCTATTTAACCATACACTCTTTGACCTGCTCTTCATGTGTATCAAATTTCAAAAGCATTTTATACATCTTGGAAATCAAATGGTCCTCATTGTTACAGAGTGCTTTTTTAAACACATATTTTTCTTCTTCAAATTCAAATACTTTTCTGTCTGCTTTAAAATTTTTCTGATAGTTGCACCTATGCAAGCCACTGACAAATACAGCTATCCTCCATTAAGTTCTCTCTTGGCTTCATTTTATAATCCCCCTGGTCCAGTTTTAAGATATCTTTATAGGTTAGTTCAGAAATAATCTCAAATGGTAATTTGAAGTATCTTATTTTCTTCCATTTTCCTTCCACCCTCCCTTCACATCTTTGAATTCAATAGTCTCAGAAGGCAGGGTCCCCATGACTATGAGCCATCAGTTCAGACATTATGTACTAAATCGTAGTTAACAAATGCCACCTTTTGCAAAACCACAGTTCAGGCTATTGTTTTGATTCTGAGAGTAACTTTACTGCTGTCTGATTTTGAAGCAACTGTCTGGACAGCTCCGTAGCTTTGGTATCTGACTGTGGAGCCAGTGGGAGTTCAGTTCCCCACTGAGCCTCTTGCAAGTAGGGCCAGCCTGTGTGGCCTTGGGCAAGCTACACAGTCCTAGGATGACCCTAGAAGAAGGGAATGATAAACCACTTCTGAGTATTCTTTACCTATAAAACCCTGAAAAGGGTTGCCATAAGTCAGAACTGATTGTTACAACAGGAGCTTTTCCCATCTCCAGCAGTTTGCAAACTAGTTTGCTTTGATCTGTGGTTGGCTTAAGGACCTAGACAGTGTTCTTCCTGTTTTCTCAAACACATAAGACTGCCTCTGTCTTGATTCTTGAGAACTAATAATCTTGAGCACTAACGTGACTTTAATAAATAAATCATGTGACTTTTACTCTAATGACAGGTGTTAGCATCTGCCATCTCTTGACTCATGAATTTTAAAAAGAATTAGGAGCAGAAGCTGGGAAGAAACTCATCCTTGAGGGCCTGAAAAGCTACGTAGCCAGTTCAGGTCATGGGTTAACTTGATAAATGATCAGCGTAAGGCATCTTCCTGTGTTAATGTTCAGACAGGCTGTTTCTGCATTCAACCCAGCTTTCAGCCTGATGCCATGTTTATTTTTCAACTACGAGGCAATAAGCATTTCCCATGAACTTTGCTTTGAAACTCAAATATCTAGATTGACTTAATTTTTTTAATAAGGATGAAATATTAACAACTGACTTTACACGAAGCAGTGTTGCCAGATAACTACTTTAGCTCTTAATGTTTGAAGATTTCAAAGAGCGTTCTTTTATCTAATCATAAGAAAACTCCTGTCCAGAAAATGGTTTACAACTGTAACATGGCAGGCTCATTGCCAGTTTGATCTGACTTTTAATTGCTGTAACCTACGAACAACTGGCTATCACATAAAGAATTGCAGTTATATGTGGTGTATTCTTAAGTGGACAGGATACTGTGTGATAAGAACCTGGTTATATCCATCCACTACCAATAGACTTCTATATACGGTATTCAACTGATACTTAATGCTGGCTTGAGACATTTTGTAGTCAGATCACTTATTTTAAACCCACCATACTGGGTGTCTGCAATTTCTGACAGGTCCATTTTCAAAAGACAACAGAAGACCATCAAGTATACATGGCAGATGGAGGAAGAATGTGTTTTTGTCATTCCTCATAAATACAAACATATGAACTGCCTGAATAGTTTTTGTGAGATATAGTTAAAATGAAATCAGTTTCACCTCCCCCCCCCTTGTGATTTAGTATGCTACTGCCATTAATGTTACTTCCTTGAATGAAATGCAATGAAACAGTGGTTTCCAAACTTAGGTTCTAGAGACTAGGGATTTGGACACCAAGAAGCCAAAGCCAAAACACCCAATAATCAGGACTTCTGGGAGTTAAATGTGGAGCAATACCTGTCCCTGAGCTTATTTCAAGCAGCTGTGAAATGTATTGGATGGAAGATGGTGTAATGTAGCTTTCTTTGTACTTTAGGTCTATCAGCAGCCAAATTGCTTTTTGACTCAGGATTGAATGTTGTGGTTCTGGAAGCTCGTAACAGGGTTGGAGGCAGAACCTTCACCGTCAGGGTAAGTAACTGCATTTAAAAAATTTTATTTTGGCCCTTAAGCCACCCTGCCAGTTACCCTCCCTTGTATTCCTCTTTGCCTCCTTTTAGGAGCACAAGCAAGACTTTCCTAACTTTACCAAGAGCAGCCCTTCTATTAGGTAAATTGAGGAAGCTGCCTGGGCAGCAAAAGCTGCGGGTGGGACATGGCGGTGATATGTTGTGGGTCACAGCTATACATAAAAGCCTTCCCATCTGCCATATAGATTTCAAGTGTCAGTTTGATCAGCTTCTGTATTTCATTTGCATCACAACTTTCTTCCATTGTAGAAAGTGGAGTACACACAATTCTCAGTCTACCTCTCATCCAGATGTTGACAATACCTATTTCTAGTTAATTACATCAGGATAGTGCATCATAGGGTCATAGACTATACCTTTCCTTAAATATAGACACTACAAAGCTGAATTGTGCTTTTCTTCTAAGACAGATATTAATATCTCAACTTTGATAGGATTAACCATATTGCATTTTGATAGCTGCCTTAGAACCCCTTCCATACATATTCACTATAATTTTTTTAAAAAAAACCCATGTTTGGATGGCATTTTGTCCTCCGGTGGCGAGAAAAATTTGAAACGTATTCTGTGTTTTCACCTGGAATAAGAATATTTTTTTAATTTTAATTTTATTTTTTTTGCTGTAGCAGTGGAGAATATCACATTTTCTCACATTTTCACATTTTCTCTTTCTATCCTAGAATAAGCATGTCAAGTATGTTGACCTTGGAGGGGCATATGTGGGACCAACCCAGAATCGTGTTTTGCGTCTCTCTAAGGAACTAGGACTAGAGACCTACAAAGTGAATGAAGTTGAGCATCTTATTCATCATGTTAATGTAAGATCAGTTCTTTTTCTTAACTATTCTAACTGTTCAGTTGTTGTTGTGGAATGTTGGTAGTAAAGTCGCACATATACTGGATAGTGACAAAAACATTCTGGAGATGAGTGAGCACCATAGTTGTTATACCTGTAGATCCTTGGCATAAATTCAAAAAATAAAAATTAAGAGTATTTGCAAGGAAAAGCATCTGTGACCAGCATCTTAGATGTTCAGGACTGAGATATTGTTTCCCTCTAAGACACTTTTAAAACATAACATTCTGTTTTAATAAAGGAAATATTAAAATGTAACATAACACATATGAGTAGGAAATATTTAAAAATCTTTGAAGATACTGTATCTTTTGTTTATGCAACTTTACCTACTCCAAGAGAACATTACCTCCCTTTATGGAGGATAGTTCGCGAGTTTGGATACTTGGCCTATTTGGCTAGATTAGACAAGAAAAAAATGGTTCATTAATCAAATTCTGCAATTCAGTAACTGAAGGAAGGAAAGGAAATAGTGGTTCATGCTCGGATTGTACTTCTGCTGAACAGGAAAAGAGTCGACTCTTCTGCTCATCAGGTGTCCCTAGAACAAACCAAGATTTGATTCAGAGTTCAAATTGTCATGGCATGCTAATCACAATCCAGCAGCTGACCGTAATATCAAGATAAATGTTGAAGCTGAACTTTTGAGTTGAAGTTTAGAAGCTCCGATGAATCTGCATAAAATTCTGCTTTTTCTGTTGACTGTCCAAAAGGAGTGCATGTCTGGATCATTTGATTTGACGGTGCAATAGAAATAGTTTGATGGGTCATTATGGAATAAACAAGTTTCATTTTTAATAATTCCATGCCAACATCTCTCTGTCTCTCTCCCTCCACACTTTCATATGCACAAGGCACACAATTAACCAATGAAGAGGGACTGCATATTTCCTGGGTTTTCAAGTGCTGATGCTTTGAAAGGGAATGAACTAAAGTTTCCTTTTGCCTGGTGCATAAAAGTGCAGTTTCTCATTAGTAGTCCAGTTGCATTTGAACACATCTTAGAAAGAAACCTAATTAGCATTTTCGTTGATGAAAACCCACCAGGTGACCTGATTATAGTAGGATGCTTTAATGCCTGGAGAGCTTCCCTAATTGCATCTCCAAGGCAATCCTGGGATGTAGTCCTAAATTATTTAATACGGCTAGAGATTGACTGTCAGATTATACATACTCAGTTTGTTTTTCTTGGATGAGGACAAGTTAATGAGAACTGCCTGATCCATTTTGACCATATGTCAGACAAGGGCAGATATAGTAATCATAATGTTATTACATTAAATTCTATTTGGCAGCATCTCACTAATTTTTACAGTAGCAGTAATAGCAGATAACAATCACTACTGAGTTCAAATGGTTTACAGTCCCTCTGGCTTTCCGGATATTGTGAATGCTCCCCAAGGTAGAGTAAATGGACTCATGTTTGAACTGATCACTCACATTTTTGCACCATATGCACAGGTCTATTGCTGTACAGCAACTCTGCACAAGTAATATTAAACAGCTGTAATATTACAATTCTGTTGCTTTGTGTAGTGAATTGTACTAGAGTTGTTATGTGCTATCAAGTCAGACTTGATGCAACTGTAATAGGGCTTTCAAGGTAAGTTAGATATTTAGAGAGTAGTTTTACCAGTTCCACATCCCCAGTAAGGTTCCATGACTGAATGGGGATTTGAACTCCGGCCTTCTGACTCCTAGTCCATCACTCTATCCACTGTAGAACACCAGGTATCTTGACTAGAGTAGCTCCATTGAAACACAAGTGAGTTAGTGAGTCAACTCCTCTGAAAATTTCATTGATTCAAATGGGCCTATCTAACTGCAACTTATACTACAGTGAATCACATCTAGAGTAGGCCTATTTGAATCAATGGAACTTATGTAGGAGGTGTCCCTCCAAATCCTAATTGATTCAATGAGTCTACTCTAGTGCAATTTATTGTGCTCAGCCACTGGATTTTGTCTATGCAGTGGTGCCTCGCAAGACGAGCGCTCTGTTTTACAACGAAATCGCATAATGACGAAGTTTTTGCGAACTATTTTTCCTGTGAGTTTTTTTTGCTTTGCGATGATTGCTTCCCTGCTTTGGGAACCGATTCTCGCAAAACGACGATTTTCCTACAGCTGATCGGTGGTTTCAAAATGGCCACCGGGTTAAAAAATGGCCACCCGCTGTTTTCTGGGATGGATTCCTCGCTGCACGGGCAGCGAAAATGGCTGCACTATCTTTGCTGGCCGGTGAGTTTTAAGCCCATAGGAACGCATTGATCGGGTTTTAATGCGTTTCTATGGGCTTTTTAATTTTGATTTACGATGTTTTCATTCTACAACGATTTCGCTGGAATGAATTAATATTGTAATGCGAGGCACCACTGTAGTGTATTAATGAAAAATGAGAAACTTCCAAAATGTGGATAGATTCAATTAAAAAGTGTCTTCCATTATCCATTCCTCTCTGTTTGTCCCAGATGCACCAGCTGCAGCCTAGTCCTTGTTTTCCACTCTGGGTTGCCACTGTGTGGGAACAAAACTGTGTCTATGCCCTCCTGTAGTTCCCTTCCTTTCCCTTCCCTTCCCTTCAAAACTCTCTCTGTTTGGCTTCTATTTGCTAGCTATGCCATATTTTTGTTCCAAGACCACATAGGAGAGAACTTACTGTGTTGTCTCCACCTCACTTCTGTTGTCCCTTATTTCCTCAGGAGTGTGCAGTATTATAGCCTACACTATACCTTTTCCCTTAAGCTAGGGCATAGGGGAAAAAAATGCTTTTCTGAGGTACAGATTTCAGTTCAAAAAGTTAACTTTACCAAGCTCTGCTTTAATCTGCCCTATCAATTAACCTTTCTATAGTACATTTGCTTACTTCCTCCTAGCTGCATGAGTAAGACCTCCCTCACCTTACTTCCTCATTTTTCATATCTGCCCAAACATTTCGCATATATAATTAAACTGAAATGAGAAATCTAGATAAACGCAAACTGCACTGACTACTTCCTTTCTTGGCTAAGACCTATGAATTGCAACTCTTACACCTCATTTGTTATCATTCCCGTTCTGCAACTGATTCATTATTAAAATGTTACTTGCTAGCTAGGTGTTGATGAATAAAATATGCAAGATGTTCAAATTTAATTAGCAGTGAAGTAAATGATTGCTACAGTATATTGGGATGCATGCAAATCTGTACATGTTTAGGGTCAATGCTCAACTCCTTCACCCATAGCAAAGTCTGTAAGTAGAAAGAGTGTTCTGGAGTCTGGACTCTTCTTCAGCCAAAATGGAAAGAAAAAATAAAGATCACATAGTCTGGGGATAGAACTTCCTGTTTCCCTTTGAAATGTTTTTGCTTCCTCCAGTGTGTGTGCAGAAAGGTAGGGAATACCTATGAAAACCAGTGAAATCCAGATGTTCAAAATGGTACATGGAGTGGTGCCCACTCCTAAACAAAAGTTAACTTTGGTCTCATTTCATGTGAGAAATACATATGCTAAAAATGTCATTTTTGGCATATGTTTTTCTCACATGAAATGAGACCATCCGTTGGCTATATCGTGTTGATTTTTAAAAACAACATGGGTGACAAGGTGGACCCTTGTAGAAGAAAATAGAACAAATCACATGGGACAGGGCAGTTGCCCCTTATCACTACCCCATTTGGGCAGACCTACCACAGTGTAGTGCCTCCAATTTACCAACTGGCCAAGTAATATCCTACTACGAGCTTCCCTAGCTTGGTCTCCTGAAGATGTTAGATTACCAGCCCTTTTCTGCTCAGAGACGACCAGCAGGTTGAAGGGGGGGTCTAAAAGGTGGTATTGGCAGACACTGACACATCATCATGGTCCACCTGTCAGTAGTTCTCTCACTGAGACAACCCAGACAGGTTTCACTGCACAAATTATGTCAGACTGACAGGGTTCTTGCAATTGCTCCAAGGATTATCTTTCTCAGCAGAGCAGAAAACATTGTTTCAGCAGGTCCAGTTGGTCCTTTCCCTGTGCACTTGGCAGGCTGTCCTGATTTGTTATTATTCAATGTCATGGTTTTCACATCATCTCTAAATATCCTTACCATGATAATTCAGTTTATTTAGTTTTACTATTTGCAATGCAATTTAAAATCTGCAATTTATTTCCTATATACGGTGAATGCTTCTATTCTCTCTTGATGTTTTTCATACATTTTCATGTCATTTGCCTTGCAGGTAATTGTGAAACAGCTGCATATTTTAAATGAACATGCTGCTACGTTTCAACAAAAATGATTGTTAGACGTATTAAATATAATCAGACATAGTCCTGGTTTATAAAGCCTCCTATCAACTGATTCATGTTGTGATCAGTTTATTAATGTTGTAAATCACATTGCCGTGCTTATGTTGCAGTTCATTTGAATTAATTTTGACAATATAACAAGACACATTATCAAATACTTATCAAAATTGAATATCGTACACAAGCAGTCTAATCCATAATCCAATTAAACAAAAAATAGAACGCAATTTAATTGTAATGGGGGAAACAAGGAGGTTAACCTAGTCATAGTCCTTTTTCATTAGTTTGCAGATGCTGTTCAAATTTCTGTTGATATATGCTTATTATGTATTTTGTGAAGATGCATTTCATAAATATTCTAAAGTAATAATGGAAATGGCAGCAAAACTCATTGGGGGCTGCTGGTAAGTCTCAGAGAATGGATAAGCATTATGAGTCTCTGTATTTTCCTTCATTTCATCATCAGCCTCCAGGACTGCCAGTGTAATTTTCTCATATAGTTTCTTAGCAGCTTGGCAAATTGTGTTCATTTGAGAGATCTATGCTAGAAAGGTCTGTGATGCTTCCCATTGGTAACCACATTTTTGCAGTCAGGTTGGCAATTTAGTGTAATCAGATTTGAGTGTTTTCTTCTTTCCATGTTGTAGGGCAAAACGTATCCCTTCAAAGGAGCATTCCCACCGATGTGGAATCCCATTGCCTATCTAGATTACAATAATCTGTGGAGGACGATGGATGAAATGGGGAAGGAGGTATGAAACGTAGGAGCCTTATCTCAGTCATCTCAATTTTCTAGCAGTAGCAGTGGATTTCAGGTTGATGGGACCTACTTTGTTTTTTACTGGAACCCAGAGATGCACTAGCCAGAGCACAGTGCAAAATTGAATGTGCTGTTAGAATTAAAGAACATGGGAGTATAGAAATTTGACCCAATGGCAATGACAGTCTGTCCAAATGAAAACTCAAGCTTTCCTCATTTCAGAAGTATAATTTATTGTGGAGGAGGAGAATAATTTTCTTGCTGCTGTTGTTACTCTTTGGGAGTCAGAAGGCCTTGCCAATCTACTGAAAATCATCCAGAGATATACCTGTAGATCAAAGTGTACCTTCTGCCCTCGACCACTGTTGTATAACACAGATCCAGACACTGCAGTTTGATAGGCACAATGTCCTCATTATATTGTGATAAACTGGGAAACTGTGGGCTTTTTAAAAATTAAAAATTGATTAGTGACACAGAGAAACAAAACACTTTTGTTTCTTTTCTAAAGCCTTCAATTAATATTCTTAACTGTAACTGGATTTCCATAGATCAGAATCAAAGTATGGTGCTAATGTGAAAAGGGCATTAGTGGAAAGAGTGACGGATTTCTCTCAATGTAAAAAGCATAATCATCTCTGGTTCTGCAATGCTGTGGTTTCTTTCTAGACATGTGATTCCCTTTTTCTCTTAGATTCCCAACGAAGCTCCGTGGGAGGCACCACATGCAGAGGAATGGGACAAAATGACTATGCAAGAATTAATTGACAAAATTTGCTGGACAAAGTGAGAAGTGATTTTATGCAGTATCTGTAAGATAGATACCCATGGTAACCCCCATCCTAAGAAGAGAAGTAATACTTGTTACAAGTAATAAGCAACCCATGACTTTTTTCTTGATTTCCTACACGTGTTCGGTTCAGAGGTTTGACAACAGCAACCTCTGTTTTTCCTGTGGGAGTCTCCTAGGATGATAGGAAAGCATGGTAGAAGTGAAAAAGAAAGGAGGGCCATGAAGGGGAAGTTCTGGAAGGGGAAGTTACTTTTTTGGCAGTAACAGAGTTACTTTTTGGGACTACAACTCCCAGAATTACCTGCATTTGTATGCCTATTTTTTTTAAAAAAAACACCTTCCCTTCTTTCCACCTTGGACTCATCTACAACCAGCACATGGTCCCCACCCTTTCTTAAAAAGTAGGAACCAGCAATTTGTATTGGGTCCTGAGTGTGTGGAGGGGTACTGGCCCCAGAAGAAGAGCAACAGAGGCTCCCCAGACCAGGATCTCAACCAGATGTTACTCAAAAGCCTGTGGAAAACCGGGTGTACCAGTATCAAAATTCAGAGAGGTTGGATGGTGCATTAAGTAGAACTTGTACTGCTATGAAGTATTGCCCCTCTCACCTGATGAGCAGGTTCAGAACTTTGCAGCCATGTATATATCCACAGCATCCTTCAACTTGGAAATTTGGTCTACATAATATGAGTTGGAACAGCAGGTTCCTTTACGGGCAGAATCTTGTTTCACAATAAGTTTTGGGAGGGCTGGATCAGAGCATTATTCTGCCTAAAACAAGAGCAAGATGGCATCCTCTTCCATTTGTCACATGCATGCTCACTGTATTAACTGATGAACTTCAGCACTGGCAAGGAGGCTCAGTAGCAGACCAATGTAGAGGAGCATAGGACAAACTGTGGGAGGGCTGCCCCAGCTGCCCCTCCACATCTACTATCTGAAGCAGTGGCCTTACTCCAGGGTGATAAATAGTTAATTTTATGCTTCAGGCAAAAGTATAAAATTGCACCCCTCCCTCTGCTCTCAGCATATGTCCATGTGCATGCACACACAGACATACACACACCACTGGAAAGAATGGGAGAGCTGGCAGCATGAAGTCTTAAACATACATGATAGTGCATGAAGTCTGAAATTTGCAGCACCTGGTTGCAATTTGAGTTTATAAGCCCTATTAAGGCATTATCTGAATAAATTAATCAGGCATAGAGGGAAACAGCTAGCTCCTCCCATCTCTGTTGTTGTTTTCTGCTTGTGAAAAAAACAGCAAGTCTGCAGGGAAGGTATTCCTGTTTGAGTACCAAAGAAAGGGAAAGAGCCATAACTTTTCCAGGTAGTGAATTATTATTACTATTAATAAAAATATTTTTACACCACCTTTCTCCTTGAAAAGGACCCAAGGTGGCTTACAACATTGAAAGAAAATATTTAAAATGGAAAACAACAAATATACAATGGTGGTTAACATCATTAAAAGATAATATTTAAAGCTAAGAACAATAAGTACAGTATACAAATATTTCTCTTTCAAAAAGCCTCTGAGAAATGGACAGCACAACAATGGAAAGCACAGGTAGTGCTAAAAATCCAGTCAAAGTAGTATTTATTTATTTTCCAACTTTTACCCTGCTCATCTAGATTCAATGAATCTACTCTTGGTGGCTTATATTCAAAATTTAAAACAAACAATATCAAACAACATAGAAAGATCCAAGATGATAAGACATAGAGAATTAAGAAATGGAAAGGAGGAAGGCTTGCCGGAGGGCTTGCCAAGTCTTCAGCTTGTTCTTAAGTAATGCAGAATGATCCATCAAAAAAATCACACACGGGTAGCTAGTTACTGAGGGAAGGCTTGTCTTTGCCTGCTTGTGGTAGGACAGCAAAGGACAACCTGGCCTCCTGTAGGAGGAAGTTCTAGAGTCTAGGAGCAGCAACAGAGAAGGCTCTCCTGTATCCCCATCAGATGCACCTGTGAAAATGGTGAGATCTAAAGGAATTTCTAAATATACCCCTTTTCTAATAGTATGGTCTGCTCAGTATAGTACATACAAATTTTATATATATCTTCTTTTACAGTGGTGCCTTGCTAGACGATGATAATCCATTCCACTGAAATCGCTGTTTAGTGAAATCATTGTCTAGCGAAAAGCATTTCCCTATTGGAATGTATTGAAACCTGTTTAATGCATTCCAATGGGGAAGAATCGTCGTTGTCTAGCGAAGATCGGCCATAGGAAAGCTGCTTTTTGAACCGCCGATCAGCTGTTTAAATTGCTATCTTGCGAAGCTTAGGTCCCGAAAGCACCCATTTTGTGACCATGGAGGGAACTGTCAAAATTATTGTCTAGCGACAATTGGTTTGCGAAGCAGGGACCAAACATTGTCCAGCAAAATTCCCCCATAGGAATCACTGTTTTGCGAATCGCTATAGCGATCGCAAAATGTCAATGTCTAGCAAAAAAACTGTCATGCGGGGTAACTGTCTAGCGAGGCACCACTGTATATGCCTTAGCTTTTTGGGTCTCATTTGCTTCACCTTTTTAATGGCTCTGTTTCACTCTGCCTAATAACAGAGCCAGCCCTGAGCCCTGACAAAAGCACCCAGGGAGCTAGAACTCCATTGCTCCCTTCTTTCGAAAATTGACTTCCCTGCATGTTTCACATTCTCCTGTATTTTTGATCTGCTGTTGTGATCAAGATTGATGTTAATCCAGAAATGGCTTCTCCTCTCTTAGATGCAATGGATCACAAGGGTACTCACCTTTCTTTTCTTTCCTTCTGTTCTGCTGACATGTAGAACACATTTGCCTTTGTTTTATATATATGCTGCATGCTAGAAGAGGCTTTCTGTGTGGTTAAAAAATGCATGGCAGATTAAATGATTTGTTGGATTTGTAGCAAAAGAATTATGTCAATAAAGAAAGTAGATGAGATGATTTTCTGTAAATTGTACATATTTCAAAAGATCAGTCACTCAAGAGCCACAATGAGGAAGGAAGGAAGGAAGGAAGGAAGGAAGGAAGGAAGGAAGGAAACCACTGATTTTCCTATGTAGTTAACTCTAAAGTTAAAATCAGTTTCTACCATGGTATATGTGTAATATTGTTCTGGATTGAAGGAAGATAGCTAGTTATTAATGACAGAATCCCTGAAGCTGCACAATATGCCCAGAGATCTTTGAAAAACCTTTGAAAGATCACTTCTAGTGATTTGAGAGCAAGTGTGGAGTAGTGATTAGAATTTATTTATTTATTTATTTATTTATTTATTTATTTATTTATTTATTTATTTATTTATTTATTTATTAGATTTCTATCCCACCCTTTTACTATCCCACCCTTTTAGACAAAGTCTACCCCAGACAGGTTCCATTAAACATTGTAAGCTAAAACAGTTAAAAACAATTCGAAACAATAGTGATTGTTTTGATAGAATGTTAGACCTGGGTTCAAATCCCCACTCAGTCACTATTTCTCAGCCTAATACTGTACCTAACTGGATTCTTGTGAAGATAAAGATAGGGACATCTCAGACATTCTTACTGTTAATCTAGGCATGTAACTAATGATTAGATTAACACTATGTCTGAATTGGGTTGTTTAACATATTGAAAGTATAATTCGAATGAATTGTATACTATATGGGAAATATATTAATTGCATCTTAGGTACTTTCCCAATCTCACTCCCTTTTAATCCTTATCCCCATCGTTTCCCATTGTTCCCTTCCGTTCCTTACCCTGACATGAAAATAAAAAGTTTGATTGCAAATAAATACATAGATAGATAGATAGATAGATAGATAGATAGATAGATAGATAGATAGATAGATAGATAGATAGATAGATAGAAAGATAGAAAGATAAAGATAAAGATAAAGATAAAGATAAAGATAAAGATGGGGAGGAGAACCATATAAGGCCCCCAGAGCTCCTTAGAGCAAAAACTCTATATGCATAGAAAGAATAATTAACTTTAACAAATAGAAAGGTGAGTATTCAAGTGCTCCATATTTTCTATATACGCATACTATGAATGCTATAAATATAAATATTATCAGCATTTTGAATACAGTGTGTTGTTTCCAGCTAGAGCCATCTCTTAGCAAAACATGTATAACAAAAACAACAATTTGTTTGTTCAGTCGTTTAGTCGTGTCCGACTCTTCGTGACCCCATGGACCAGAGCACGCCAGGCCCTCCTATCTTCCACCGCCTCCCGGAGTTGTGTCAAATTCATGTTGGTTGCTTCGATGACACTGTCCAACCATCTCATCCTCGGTCGTCCCCTTCTCCTCTTGCCTTCACACTTTCCCAACATCAAAGTCTTTTCCAAGGAGTCTTCTCTTCTCATGAGATGGCCAAAGTACTGGAGCCTCAGCTTCAGGATCTGTCCTTCCAATGAGCACTCGGGGTTGATTTCCTTTAGAATTGATAGGTTTGTTCTCTTTGCAGTCCAGGGAACTCTCAAGAGTCTCCTCCAGCACCACAATTCAAAGGCATCAATTCTTCGGCGGTCAGCTTTCTTTATGATCCAGCTCTCACTTCCATACAACACTACAGGAAAAACCATAGCTTTGACTATTCGGACTTTTGTTGGCAAGGTGATGTCTCTGCTTTTTAAGATGCTGTCAAGGTTTGTCATTGCTTTCCTCCCAAGAAGCAGGCGTCTTTTAATTTCAGGGCTGCTGTCTCCATCTGCAGTGATCATGGAGCCCAAGAAAGTAAAATCTGTCACTGCCTCCATATCTTCCCCTTCTATTTCCCAGGAGGTGATGGGACCAGTGGCCATGATCTTAGTTTTTTTGATGTTGAGTTTCAGACCGTTTTTTGCACTCTCGTCTTTCACCCTCATTACAACAATAATAAACATAAAATATTGTGGCACCTTAGAGACTCACAGGTTCGTTTTAGCATGGGCTTCCATGGATTAGCAAACATAGTTTTGTATACTAGAAAATGTTTCATCACTTAATTTACCAAGTGGGAGAGAGATAAGTCTTTGCTATTCTGGACCACTCTTATCACTTACTTACTGGTGTGATTAAGGTGCCTTATGAAAGTGATAAATAGCAAGTGAGGGACAGCTCAATTGTTAAGGTAATGCTTGTTTCTTCTTCTTAGCCATGTTGTTCCTCCAGGCAAGCCAATCTTTCAGCATGGATGCCTGAGACATCAGACATGTAAATAAAGCATGTGTTGTTTCTCGGTTGACCCATTATAAAACAAAATCAAGCTAATTTACTAAATACTGTTTGAGGCAAGCTTGTCATAGAAGAAACAAGCTGTTTTTTTTTCTCCTTAGGAGTCAAAGGCTGAAATCCTGTTGCTTTGCATAGTAAGTCACAACTGGAGTAAGCCCACCAAATCAGCAGTCAATTCCTCTGTATGTTCTATTGATGCAAACTAAAAGTAAGCCCACCAAATCAGCAGTCAATTCCCCTGTATGTTCTATTGATGCAAACTACTGTAAATACTCTAGTTGTGACTAACTACACTAAACAGGATTTCAGCCAGTGATTCTAGGCAGAGAATTAGCATCTTGTGTAGTGAATCTCTGAATTACACCTGTCATAACATGCAATGAATACTGTAGAAAATTGTGGTGTTGCTTTCCCAGCAGTTGACCTCTTAGCAATATTTCTCTGCCCTCAGAAGCATGCATGAAAAAATACCCAAAGGTTAGGTTTTCCCAGAGGCCAGCTTCATCCTGAAGCCAATTGTGCTCTTTCATTTGGAAACACATGAAAGGTATTCATCTATGAAGAGGCCAGCTTCATCCTGAAGCCAATTGTGCTCTTTCAGCTGGGAACACATGAAAGGTATTCATCTATGGGAAAAATACTATTACCTGAGTAATAACCTATGTTTTATTTTCTATTATTTGAAGCAAAAGACACCCACGTTTCTGTTGAAAAGCCCCCCCTCTCTCTATATCTCTCTCTCTCTCTCTCTCTCTCTCTCTCTCTCTCTCTCTCTTGACATTTGTCTGATACTCTCTGGCTGAAATCTTCTTAAGGTGCTTCACAAACAATGAATAATGACAGTACGATAATGAAGCATAAAAGCAATGAGTTCAGGATGATATACATGGCTCGCCTTCCTCACCCCCTTCATTCAACCCGTCCCTCCTTCACAGTAGATCAGATTGAGAAAGAAGAACAGGATGAGGGCCAAGCAGGATATTTTGTATTGAAAACCTGAAGGCAGGTCTCTTAAGCTCTTGTCTACAATGCTAACTAATACATCACCATTAGCTCTCACGTATCATATGGAAACAGACCTTTTAACCATTATTTTTATCTGTAGTGTGGCTGCTCTTCTCCTACACTTTTCTGTTCTGTTTCTTTTTCTCACCTTTGTTGAGGAGGAGGCAGGAGGACAGATCAAAACCTCCCATTACTGTTTTCTTGGCTTTGTATGTTGATTAATATGTCATTGCAATACGTGCATAATTAGGAATAACAATAATCATCTTGCATGCCAACAGTTCAAATACCTTTAATAACAAACCAACACTGGCACCTAATTCAAATTTCTCAAGTAATTTGATAGTTTCTTTGGAAGCAATGGGAACAAGTCATTTCATGAGTTATGAGGTAAATGGCTATTGTTCGTTCAGTGGAAAAAGAGGTTTCCAAGAAACAGAGCTTTCCTATCCATTGCAGTAGGGGAGGGAAAATGTTGACTACATGTTCTTGAACTACAATTCCCGTAACCCTACACCAGTAGCTATTCTGGCTTGATTTGAAGGAAATTTGTTTATATATTTGGAGGACCACAGTTGCCCACACTTGTGCTGGAGAGCAAGAAGCAAAGCAAAGCAGGATGTGCTGCTTTTCTACTACCCCATAGCACTTCCAGCACTCTCTGGGTGGTTTACATTTTAATTACGTATGTAGGCTACACAAAAAGGGACAGATAACCTTCTCTGCCATTTCTCTGTTATGATTGTTGCCTGCAGGGCTGCCAAGCGGTTTGCCAAGCTGTTTGTCAATGTGGACGTCACCTCCGAACCTCATGAGGTCTCAGCTCTCTGGTTCCTGTGGTATGTTAAACAGTGTGGAGGGACAACCAGAATATTTTCAACAACCAACGGAGGTCAGGTATAGCAAGCCATTAATTACTTCCAGGTCATAGTGATGTGGTTGGACCCCTTTAAAATTCTTGAATAAATTAATGTTACTAGCTTTTAGATATTCTCTGTTTAATGAGGTATACCACCTTGGGTCCTTTTTTAAAGGAGAAAGGCAGTGTAAAAATATTGTAATTAAATAAATACCCCCACCCTCACCCCTAAAGTTATCTGAACACTACAAAAGAAGTCTCCACCTGCTGCTGAAGGCATCGTCCAACAGTCCATCTCATGGGTGGTCATAAATGTTTCTGTTTGAATCAAACAGGAAATGAAAGGATTGATTAGTGAGTATGAACAAGTGAAAAATAAAGCTTCAGCGGAAGCAAGCAAAGGACCTCTTTCTTGTTCCAGAGCCTGTGGCAGTCTAACTATTTAACTGTCAAGTACAGACAGCTAAGCTGCCAATTCTGATGCCAATTAACTGTCAAGTACAGACAGCTAAGCTGCTAAGCATTCTGATGCCAGTTCTTTTTTGGCCATCCCAGGGGTCCTGGACTGTAATTCCTGATAGTTTTGGACTATTATTTCAGGCAAGCAAATATGTTTTGACTGCAGTTTGACTGTAAGAGAGCATGAAACACTGGCTGAAATCCTGTAGTAACTTGTAGCTACAATAGACCCGTTGAACAAATGGGAATTTGGTAACTCAATGCCTCTGTCAATGCAGTTCCACTGATTCAATGGGTCTACTTTAGTTGTGACTTAGTGCTGGACTTCAGTCCTTATGTGTAGAATATTAGGTTTTAAGAGCTTTTACAAGCTCAGACTAACTGAGAGGGTTTTTTAAATGGATTGTTGTGCCTTGTTGATTTTAAATGTGTTTTTAATTGATTTTATTTATCATTTTAATGCAACATTTATTTAATTCATTTTACAGTGGTGCCTCGCAAGACAAAAGTAATTCATTCCACGAGTAGCGCCATCTTTCGAAATTTTCATCTTGCGAAAAGCGGTTTTCCCTATGGGAACCTCACAAGACGAATGAATTATTTTCGTCTTGCAAGGCATTGGTCTTGTGAAAAAAATCATCTTGCGAAGCACGGCCATAGAAGAAGCCATCCTGCGAGTCACCAACACGATCGCAAAAAACATTCGTCTTGCAGGTTTTTCGTCCGGTCGCCATCTTTCGAAATTTTCATCTTGCGAAAAGCGGTTTTCCCTATGGGAACCTCACAAGACGAATGAATTATTTTCGTCTTGCAAGGCATTGGTCTTGTGAAAAAAATCATCTTGCGAAGCACGGCCATAGAAGAAGCCATCCTGCGAGTCACCAACACGATCGCAAAAAACATTCGTCTTGCAGGTTTTTCGTCCGGTGAGGCGTTCAACCATTCGTCTTGCAGGTTTTTCATCCGGTGAGGCGTTCATCTTGTGAGGCAGCACTGTATATCCATGCTCACTGTTTTTTTAGCTTTTAAATATTGTCTTTTTAATGACGTAATCATCCTTGTATCCTTTTAAAGAAAGAAGGTAAAATAACAATTTATAAATAAATTGGATTGATCAGGTATCTGGAAGTCCCATTTCAGTATAACAGTTATGTGTAATTCAGCTAGAAATGGAAATTAAAAACAAAAAGGAAGCATCCACCACAGAGTCCAATCTAAGCTTATTATTTGGAACTGCCATTTTGTTTGATATGTGAGATTATATTTTCTCTGTCTGTCTTACAGGAGAGGAAGTTTGTTGGTGGTTCTGGACAAATTAGTGAGAGGATTATGGAATACCTGGGAGATCTTGTTCAACTAGAGAAGCCTGTAACTTCTATCAACCAGACAGGTGAAAATGTCATAGTGAAGACACTGGACCATGATACATATGAGGTGATTTAAATCTTAGAAATGTTGGGTTTGGAAAGATTTATTGTGGAAAAGTAAATGTGAAAGAATTGAAGAACATATTTATTAGACCTTGGGAAAGTTACTTCATTGACTACAACTCCCAGAATCCACCAGCTTACCTGCTGGGTAGTTAGTCCAACTCATACAAAATAACAGGTTAGAAGCTTCTGTTCTGTAGGTTACAACTCCATTTGAGCTCCACAAACTATGTTTCGAATAAACCACTGTTCGTCTGCAGATCAGACCCCTAAACCACAATTTGGGCCAATTATTTGCCAGATTTGTACAACATGGCAAATGACTAGCTATAAACCAGGGAAGGAAGCTTGTAATCTCCTTTATACTGGTAGAAAGGAGGAAGAATTGGTGGAGATACTTGTTTGCATTCTGAAGAAAAACACTTCCTTTACATATGGAGGCTACTCATGTCATCAGGCACCTGAATTTCAGTGTTTCTTCAAACTGTTTGGTAACTTTCTATGCATTTGGGGGGTTCTCCCTTCATACTGCAGCTGCTAGTGTGGGAAAAGCCTGAACAGAGAAGGTGTGGCTGATGTGCTCCCCCTCTCCATACATTCAATTTAACTGTATAATGAACATCTTGGAACTATATCTAGCAGCTGCATGTCATGTCACCGTTTCTAGGTTCAGAGATAAATTTATGCTATCTGAGTCAAATTTTCTATCAAATAGGATTGGAGGTTTCTAGTAGCCCAAGAATATTTATGCATCCTGTAAAGATAATTATGCTTGCATTTCATTTCAAGGCTCGATACGTTGTTTGTGCCATCCCTCCAGCACTCAGCTTGAAGATTCATTTTAACCCATCTTTGCCTTCAATGAGAAATCAGTTGATCAACCGGGTTCCTATGGGATCAGTCATCAAATGTATAGTGTACTACAGAGAAGCATTCTGGAGGAAAAAAGGTACTGCATTTTAATTGAAAGGGTACGGGATTGCAGCAAGCCTGAGAAAAAATTATTTCAATTTATAATAGTCTATCAGTCCAGGAATTAAATCCAAGATTGCTCTCAACTAGACTTGACCCACTGAGACCAATAGGACTTACATCACATATCCCATTCATTTCAGTAAGTCTGTCTGTCTTGCCATGAACATTAGATTTCGCTCATATTTGTCAGCAATATTACTTTCTGTATTTTTAATTACTTTCATGATGCCTTTAAGTTTGCTTGATTTGTATGCTTATATGTACTAAGGATGGCTTCACTCCTTTGCTGCTTTTCACTAGTATGGTATTTAGAAAATTTATGAAAAGCAAAAATATTGAGCCACAATGTCTCAAATCATTAGTGTAAAGTTACTCTGAGTAAGGCTGATGACATCATCAACTGTGGTCATTTTCTGGGAATTAAAATCTAGCATTTTCCCAAAGATTTTCAAATTCAGCTTTGTAACAACATGCTGTTTTTTTTTTTCATCTTTTGGACAAAATATGACCAGTTAAGATTAGATTCCCTGCTTGGGATTAATAGCTGCCTGAGAATATAACATTTTATAGTTCAGGAGTGAGGAGGATAGAGAAGGTCTTGAAGGGCAGCTATTGGGCAGCAGCAGTCATAGAAAGAGACACTGGAGGAGCTCTCACAGATAATGGCAGTGATGCTCTACCGAACTCTTGTTAGTAGTGTGCAGATGACAGCTATGGTAAATCCCTTGTAAAGACAGAAACATCTAAATCCTTGTGAGAAGCTAATCCGAAATACATTAAGAGAGAGTCCTGGAAGATGAGACTCCCAAAGCACCCAGTCAGTTACTAGTTTTTGGTGTTCCTTGATGGATTGCCTGCTTACAGTGAAAGATTTGTTGGGAGGAATGGCCTGCTCATGGACAAGGCCCTCTACATCAGGAAGACTCATGATACATTGTGGGCTTAAAGATTCAAAACTGTAGAGTGAGGGCTACACAGCTCAACTGGAGTGGGTTAGAGCAGGTTAAATAGGATCCCCTAAGGTTGCATAGAAATTTGGTACGCCATTTAGTGTAATGGCATACTGGACTTGATAAGAGAGAGCATTGGAGTTGAGCTAATGATTTTTTTAACCCAGGTGAAGTTGGACACATTCAGTAGTTTAATAAATGTTTCTGTAATGTCCCTGTTACTAATGGCTTTTGATAGTTATTGTTAAGAGGGATAAGAATGATATATTCATTAGAGCAAACTGGATTGCTGACATCTTCACTCTTTGCTCCATTTCAGATTTCTGTGGTACCATGATTATTGAAGATGAGGATGCAGCTATTAGTTTGACACTAGATGATACCAAACCTGATGGAAGCTTTCCAGCCATAATTGGGTAAGAAATACTTTAGAAAATGCCTTTTGAAAACATACAAGATAGGGAGCTTCACAACTAGGTGTGAAGCTGATTTAAGCAGTAAAGGATGTGTGATTATACTCTAACATTTTTCATAGTATCACAAGATGCAAATTAGTTTTTTTTAATTGACCAAGGATGAAGGAGAAGCAGTGCACTCTATCTGTATACTGAGTCTGCAAACTTTGAAGGTATGTCTGTGGAGGAAAAACATGTGATCACTTACTAATTTCAAAGTTTCCCATCTCATCTGTTTTGATTTTGAATCTTGCAAGAGGAGCAAAATGTGGTATCTAAAGAGAAGAGAAAATGAAGAGAATGCCATCTGTGTCTTGGCTGGAGTTGCATTACATGGCTGGAGCTTGCTTCTTTTTGGAAAAATGCTGCTTGCTGTGTGATGTAGAAAGTAAGAGTGGTGCTTCGCTTAACGACGATAATCCGTTCCAGGAAAATCGCTGTTAAGCAAAAACATCGTAAAGCGAAAATAAAAAGCCCATTGAAATGCATTGAAAACCGTTCAATGTGTTCCAGTGGGCTGAAAACTCACCGTCCAGTGAAGATCCTCCATACGGTGGCCATTTTCAGTGCCTGTATAGCGAGGAATCCATCCATAAGCACAGCGGGGAGCCATTTTAAACACCCTGTGGCCATTTTGAAAACCCGACGATCAGCTGTTTTTGATCGTCATAAAGCGAAAATTGGTTCCTGAAGCAGGGAACCGATCATCGCTAAGTGAAATTTCCCCATTTAGACCATCGTTTTGTGACTGCAATTGCGATTGCAAAAACATCGTCATAAAGCGGATTCGTCGTGATGCGGGGCAATTGTTAAGCAGGGCACGACTGTATGATGAATAATCCTGGTTCCATTCAGAATGAAATCATTTTGCCTTGGGCTAAGGGTTCAGATGGGCATTTCCCCACTGTTTGGTGTGCTGTGGGGATGAGCTGACTTGCTCTTTTTTCCAGACATAATTGCTAGAGTGAAGCAATCTGTCCCTGGAGCACCACTACGTGTACCTTTCTGAGCCGCTGTCGGGGGCTTCTGTGTTTCTAGCATGGGTAGGTCTGCTCTAGTGTCAATTTCTGGTAATGTGAAGTGGCTTAATAAGTGAGCCACTTCAGGATGTTGGCAAATTGAACACTTCCTTTGCTCCTCAGTGGAGGGGCAAGGTAAGTAAAATTATTATTATTATTATTATTATTATTATTATTATTATTATTATTATTATTATTATTATTATTATTATTATTATTATTATTATTATTATTATTATTA